TTCGTGGGACTTCCTATTAGAGGATCATAGCATAATAACTTATTAAGTAATAATACAAAATCACATGTGATCCATTACAAAATTGTTTGGACAATAAAGGTTAAGAGTTAAATGAGAACTCATTGTCTGTTTCAGTGGTCAGAGCACCCTGAAGGGATGGAAAGATTTGGCTAGGTAGAGGGAAGTAGTGATATATATCCATTCAATATGTGGTACTTGCTGTTCTCTTTTCCTTTATGCACGCACACATGCTAACTTTTATGTGTACACAATGACAAATTAAAATCAAGTTGAGTTAAATGTGAGTTCTATAGAGTTAACTAGGTCTGCTCTCTGCCAAATGACTTATTCCCACACACCAGCATCACATTTTAATGCCAAGAATCTGCTGAATGTTCAAGCCTCAATTTCCTCATCAGTAATATCAGAAATAACAATATTTAATTGGCAGGATTGTTATGAGGGCTAAATGAATAAATGCATATTGAAAGGGCTAACTAATCATTGTGCCTGGAATGGAGTAAAAACTGATAGTTTTCTCTTTTCATGTATAGAAAAGGAGAGGCTTGTATAGTAAAACTAGAGCTGTACAAGAATGATGATGATGATGGTGATGATGATAGTAGTAATAATGATTACTACTAACATTTATTGAGTCCATTTCTATTGTGCTAAGTGCTTACCATATATTAACTATTTAAATTCTAATAACAGCTCAGTGAAATGGATGCTTTTATCATTTATATTTTACAGATGAAGAATCTAAGGCCCAAAGAGATTAAGTAGTTTGCCCAAGGTCATGCAGCTATAAGTGGCAGAGCTGGGATTTGAACTACATAATCTAATTCCTCAGTCAGCCCCCTATAGGGTGATCTGTTAGTATAAAACAAGTGGTGGTTTCTGAATGCCGTGTAGAAGAGGTATAAAAATCTTAGCATATTAGGACCATTGTACTTCTGTTATCAGTATAGCACAAGTAATTTTGCCCCATAGCCTTATCATTCTCAATGAAAATGATACTCAGTAAAGTTCATGTAGTGTACATTTGAATGGTAAAGGTTAATTTGGTTAATCTCTTCTTACTCCCTTAAGGAAAAGTGATTTCTTCTGTTGGTTGCAATAGGAGATTTTTTTAATTAAAAGATTCTAGAATATGCTAAATTTTTTAGGTTCAGCACTCAGGAATGCTCTGTAAATCTTTCCTCCCTCTGTAGGATTGACTAGCCAATATGTTGTCCCCCTACCCCCACCAGTGGAATGGTGCCCATGTTACTGCTTATCAGCAAATCATTGTCCCTAATTGGTTTTGTCAGACTTGATATTTCAGCCACCCACAACTGTAAGACCAGATATTTTGGAGAGCACCTCTTTCTGACGATAACCATTCCACCACTCATTGTAGCTACCCCATTGATACTTCATGTTCACCTCCCTTGTTCCTCTAAATAATTCTGATAAGAACTTGAAATATCTCTTTTTGGGCCCATATTTGGATGGAAATAAGGAGACATTCTTTGATGTTTATGGAATTCTTCTGCTTTGAAACTGACTGCTATATTTTTCTATTTCTGCCCTAAATTTTCAGATCTTAAAACTGTACTGTGCTTAGTCCTTGAGGGTAGAAATGGCTGTGCTCAGTTATACCTACTGTGCGCTGGGGATAGAGAGAGAAATAAATTGTTACATCCTTCACGTTGCTCATAGTCCAGTGAGGAAGACAGCCTTGTAGATAAGTATATGCAGAAAGAAGAGATGCAGTAATAGAGGTCTGTATAGATTACAAAGGGACCCAAAAGGGAGGGTGGTCAATTGTGGTTGGAAAGAGGCAAGAATGGCTTCATAGAGGAGGTGATGCTTGAAGAGGGTTTTAAAAAATAAATAATGTGTTTACCACATGGCTGAGGCAAAGAAAGAGCATCCAGGCAGAGCGTGTGAAATACTGTGATTCATTAAGCAACTTTGGTGTGTCTGGAGCAAATATGAGGCTGAAAAGGATGTCAGGACCCAAGTCATGTAAGGCCTTTTATGCCACACTAAAGTGTTTGGGCGTTTGTAGTTTCATAGGGTGGAATGGTCAGATGTGGAACCTCAAACCTCATTCTAAACATGTAGAAATGCTGTATAAAAAGTCTCCAATAAAGAGCTGAGTTTGAAAGCAAGACATAGAAATCCTCAGGTTCCAGGAAGAGAGAGGATACTGGCATAGATGTCTTTGAGCGTATATCTTAAAAATTGTAAGGGTGAACACTAAAATAATAGAAATAGAATGTATAACTGCCAAACCGTAAAGTAAAAGCAAGATTAAAGAAAACTCAGGCTGTTAAACAGAAGATGAAAATGAGGGGGGAAAAACCAAAACCAGTATGTCCAGTGTATATCGGTAATCATAATAAATGCAAATGGGTTAAATGTGCCTATTAAAAGATAGAGATTCTCAGAGTGGAAGGGAGGGTGGAGCAAAATAAAGCAGCCTTAGGATATTTAAAGCATAATGACCCAGAAAAGTTGAACATACAGGGATGGAAGACCAAATAAGAATATGTCACAGGCAGGAGTTCATCAAGCAATGTTTACAACAGTAGGGGGGTGGGCATGGGGGACCCTGTATATCCATTAGGGGAATAGATTTTAAAATTCTAAGATATTTATATATAAAAATAATGGAATACTATCCAATACTATTGAAGTGTATCATCTGTGTGTGTGTGTGTATGTGTGTGTGTATATATCTCATGACTGAATCAAGGAAATATATAGAGTGAAAAAAGCAAGTTGCAGAATAAGATATTTATACCTTCTTCCTATTGAAAATACCCCCATTCCTGGCTTCATTTATTTATTTTTCATACCATGTGACACTAGTAATAGTATTAAAAAAGGACTTTGTCTCAATTTCGGCTAAAGCATCTAAAGTCTGAGAACAAAGCAATAGGTATCAAATGGCATTCCTAAATGAGATGCTAGACCAGGGGTCGGCAAACTGCGGCTCGTGAGCCACATGTGGCTCTTTGAATACGTTCCATCTCAAAAGTTTGCGGACCCCTGGAAGAGCCACTCCTGTCCCTCACAACAATTTAAAAATTATTCGAGAGCCATAGAACAAATGAAATTACCATTATGTGAATAATATCCTTTAAAAATTTTATAAATGAAACTATGATAGTTTTATTTTCACTTTCAATTTTACTTCAGAGCCACATGTATGTACCCAAAGAGCCACGTGTGGCTCGCAAGCCGCAGTTTGCTAACCCCTGGCGGCTCTTCCGTCTCGAAAGTTTACCGACCCCTGATATAGACCATCTCTGCAGAACCTGTGAAGGCAGTACATGAAGACCGGTTTTGGAACCCTGAACCCATCACCCACCTTAGGCTATAATGAATGTTGAAGTTGAAGGAAGAAAAAAAGAGAGAATTCTTTTAAATAAAGTGGGAGGGCTGTGGTATTTTTAGTTGGAGAACTTGACCTCAGATCTTGGAGTTGGTGGACACAGAGACCAGACCTGTGCCTGGAAACATCTGAAAAACAGGGAGAGTGGCCCGATTGGTGCCAGAGGGAGAAATGGCTATATTGGATAGGCTGTTACCCTCAGAATTTTTCAGGGCAAAGATGTAGGCAGTAGTGGACAAAATGCTGGCTGGCCTGTAGTTGAGTTAAAGGGACTGGGTTCACAAGGATCCTTGGAAGGGCCAGGACCCCTACAGAGAGAGTCCCTATGAAGTGAGTTGCCAGAAACTGGGGACTTAGGGTGAGCCTGTAAGCAGTTGGCTGGAAGAGGCATTGCCAATGTTATGGTAACTGCCAGTGAGATCTCAACAATGGGAGCTCTCCAAGGAACCGCAAAAGCACCCATGAGAGAAAAGGAGTCAGCTTTACATATCTGCTGAGTCCAGAGAGCACTAAAATTTGATTAGCATAGTATCACAACAGAAAGTAAGGCTTTTCCTGTCCGTTATCTTTCCTCCTTTTCCCAGCTTCAAACCTGAAAGGGTCAGAGACCAAAGCGAAGAAGCAGATCAGGAAGGAGAAGAAGCAAAGATGGGGAAATAGAGTCAGACATCCCCTCCTCCCACCATGGCCTGCTAGGCTGGACGCAGATCCCAGCCAGGGAAGGGAGTTGCGACTTATTATGTTGAATTTTTTAGTTACTTTTCATTGAACTATCGCGTGTAGGAGAGTGGACAAATTGTGAGTGTACATCTTGACAGATTTTCACAAAGTGAACACACCTGTGTCACCAGTATCCAGATCAAGAAACAGAATATTACCAGACTCCTAAAAATTCTTTAGTTAAAATAATTTCAAAACTATGGAAAAGTGATGACACAGTTCTTAATTGTTAATATTTTACATTTCATGGAAAGGTGGTAGTTTCTTCCAGGAGTGGAAGGAAGGGAATGAGTTTCTTGAAAGGTGTAAAGAGACTTAAAATGTATAATGTTATATTACTTTATGTGAAATAGCAAAATGTTAACTTTTTTTCATTATAAATAGTGACTTATTCCATAGCTTTCTTTGTATTTGAAGTTTTAAAAAAATTCTTCAAACAAGAGGGTTTGAGTTTTATCATCTTGGAAGTGGGGAGCTGTTGAAGTATGCTTTTATTGTTGAAATAAATGTCTTTATGACTTTTCTGCTCTCAGTCCTTGCCTGTGAATTAAGGCACTTAAGTGAGCTATAGGGTTAATTCACCTCTGCATCATTTTTCTTTTCTTTTCATCCTATTGCTTCTCACTGCTAAGTGCCCAGTGGTATCTGACATGGTAAGATTAAAACTTGCACTTTTCCTAATAGATGTAACTCTCTCCCTGGTTTTCAGTAAGCAGGACCTGCTTTTAAGCAATTACCCATCATTTGGGGCTATCACACACATTGTGCTTCGGTTCAGGTCATAATCAATAATTCATATGCCAATAGGAGCCCCATTAGCTCAGGTGAAGGCAGATGTTTTTTCTGATGAAAATGTTCTATTTTCCAAATGACTTTTCTTTTTCCCAGAGAGTTGTGGTTGTAGAAGACATAAAAAGATGGAAAACTATGTTGGAGCTTCCTGATCAAACCAAAGAGAATCTAGTTGATGCCTTACGAGAATTAAAGAAGAAAATACCCTCCAGGGAAGTGTTAAAATCAACAATGATAGGTATGTTCCTTCTGAGTGCTACGAGAAGTGCTTATATTTTGTCTCCTTCATTCTCCCTTTCTTCCCTCATGAAAACATTAAGTTATCTATCACATCAGTGCTTCTCAAACTACCCATGGTAAGTAAGAGACCATGTTTTAAAAATTCTCCATTGGTTGCAGACCAATACTTTCATATTATATAATAAAAATTACTAGAAAAACAATTAAAATATGCAAAATACAATCCTCCCTTTTTTAAATTAGATTCAACAGATGTAGAATTACTCTGTAAAATTGCTATAAAAGTTGCTAAATGCCTATTTCAGTTTCTGTACTTACTGCACGGGCTGGTAATTGGCAGTGATCTACGGATAACACTGTGAGTGTGCTTGATGCTGGGTGTGCTAAAATTATTAAGACATGGTTTGTGACCTCAAGGAAATTAGGGTTTGGAGGAAAAACAAGCATGTAGACAAATGGGAAGAGTAAAGTTTTTGTGGGTTATAAATAAAAACATAATATCCTGGGTACTACGCTGATCTGTAACAGGTATGTATGTGCTGGCATAAAGGACAGAGTAGTCACATCTGGGGAATTCAGAAAAGGCTCTAGAAGTGGCATCATTTCAGTTAAATCTTAAAAGAGACTTGGCTTTTCGGTCTTGAGTAGAAATAATTTGCAAAGCATGGTTTGTAAAAGCAAAATGATAGCATCATTTGCTGCTATATCATTTATTATAGCATTGGAGATATTTAAAAAGTAAGTCAGGGACTACATTGAATTGCCATTTTAGTACAGTACACAACTGTGAATAATAAGCAAGGGAGGGCCAACATGTGTTCCTCAAGCTGCTCCCAGCTCCCCAGGGAATCCGCGGTAGTCATTCACAGCTGCTGTTCTTGCCCTCACTAGTGCAGCCATTGCCTCTGCTGCCTCCCCTTGACCTCTTGTTCATGAGAAGCGAGAGAGAGAGCAGCTTCAGACTGGCGCTAACAGCTGGCAAGAGCTGTGTGAAATCCCCCAGAGGGCCCCCCAAGAGTCTTGAGAGTTGCACCCCTGTAATATAAACCAGAATCTGAGAAAATTAGATGCTTAAAGAACATAAAACCCTATCATTATAGCCAAGGAGATTCTTCCATCTGCTGGTGGATTTTCTCTTTATAGGTTGTGGTCACTAGAGGGCAATAAGACCATTCATAAGAGCAGATAAGGCATTTCCACCAGTAGAGGGTACTAGTGATTAATATTTTATGACATGCATATATTTACATATGTGTGTGTATGTGTTCATATTTAGGCACACACCACAAATACCACTTATGATCAGATCTTCAGTATCAATATAATAGGCTAGAATTGTCCTACAAACAAAGAACATGATAATTATTTTAAAATAATTTCTGTTTGTTCTTTGAGTAAATTGTGAGTATGCTTTTAAGAATGGGTGTGTCTGATCAGAGATTTCAATTCAAGGATCATAATGAAACCACAACAAGGGGTGTCGACTTGGGAGGAGCTGGAAACCATCCAACTTTTGAGTCTTGACCCTACCCCAAGCCTTCCCTAAATCTGAGATTGTGTGTATAGGGGTTTCTTGATTCTTTTGTAGTTATATCAGTTGCTAGGCTGATGATTCATTTGGATCATTGCCTAAGAATGTTTACATTCTTCCACCTTTAGCCTCCTGCCTGTCCGTATCCTGTGGGCTGTAAGGGACAAATATTTACTGAGTGCCGTCTTTGTGCTCGGAACTGTGCTGGCATAATAATGGAGACAGATATTGTCTCTGCCTCTTTGGAGCCTGCAGTCTAATGGAAGGATAGACAATTTAACAAGAGTTTATTAGACAATGTGATGAGTGCTCTGATGATCAGGAGAAGTTAGCCCAAGGAGTATATGTGTTGGGAGTAGAGGAGGAGATGTTGAGGAATGTGTCAGGCAGCGGGTACATCATGTGAGCTGTACAGAGGGTTGGAAATGGGAGAGAACAGGATGCACTACAGAAACTGAAAGAACTTTGGTGTGTTTCAAGTAAAGCTGGAGAGACAGCCTGGACCAGATGGAGAAGGCTCTTTATAAGCCATTCAAAACTGTTTGACTTTAGCATGTGTAGTAGTTATCTATCCCTGTGTAAAAATTACCCCAAAACTTAGCAGGTTAAGTATTTGTTATCTCACGTAGTTTTTCTGAGGGTCTGGAATCTGGGAGCTGCTCATCGGGGTGATTCTGGCTCACAGTCTCTTACAAACTATTGGTTGGGCTATAGTCATCTGAAAGTTTGACCAAGTTTGACCAGGGCTTAAGGATTTGCTCAAAATGCTCACTCATAGGATTGCTGGGAGGAGGCCTCAGTTCTTCATCATATGGGTCTCTTTTTGGGGCTGCTTATGACATGGCAGCTGACTTTCCCCAGAACAAGTGATCCAAAAGAGAATAACCAAGGTGGAAGCCACAGTGTCTTTTATAACCTCATATCAGAAGTGACATACTGTCACTTCTATCATAGTCTGTCGGTCACACAGACCAACCCTGGTATGGTTTGGGAGGCAGCTACACACAGGTTGTGAATACCAAGAGGTGAGTGAAGATCATTGGGAACTATCTTGTAGACTGGCTACCACAGCGTGTATTTCTTTTTATTTAACTAGATGTATTATACTTCTTGGATGTGCAAATTTATGTTCATTTGTAGAAGTTTTACAGCCATTATCTCTTTAAAAGTGCCTCTCTTTTGTTCTCTCTATTCCTTCATTCTGAGATTCTACAATTAGAAGTATGTTAGACCTTTTATTTTCCATACCAGTTAGCTTGTTTGTCATATTTTTTATCCCCTTGTCTCATGTAGAATTCTGGGCAATTTCTTCAGATATATATCTTCCAATTCATCAATTCTCTTTTCAGCTGACTCTACTCTGCTATTTAACCCATTCATTGAGCTCTTTATCTCAAAAACTGTTTTTCATTTTTACCAGTTTCCTTTTTTCCCCCTAAATCTGTCTCTTTTAAATATTATTTGTACATTCTTATGATTGTACTTTTTATGCCTTTAAACACATAATGTATAGTTCTGTATTTTTCATCTGATTGTTCTAATATTTGTAGTCCTTGGGGGTTTAAATGTGTTGTTTATTGTTTCTGCTGACCCTCATGGTGCTTGCCTTCCCACGTGTATGTTATTGTTAATTATTTTATTTCAATCTGTGGGAATTTTGTGGGACTAAATTGGAGATGCTTCTCTCTAGAGGGGATTAGCTTCTTTTCTTTCTTTCTTTCTTTTTAATCTTATAAGAGTTTATTTGAGCCAAACTGACGACAATTGCCGGGAAGCAAAGTCTCAACAGATTGAGAAAATGCTCCCTTAGCTTCTTTTCTTTTTTTCATTTTTGCCAATAGAGAAGGGTCACTTCTGACCTGGAATACCTTCGTACACCTCTCAATGATCCCAGCTCAGTATAAACCTCAGTATTAACTCTCCTATTTCGCCACTGGCCCAAAGCTACGTATTTCAGCAGCAATGCTGTTAACATCCGCCCTTAGTTTAGCCCCACACCTCTGTGTGCCCACCCATTTAGCCTCTGCTTACTTTTTTGGAAGAGGGAAAGAGATGGTTATTATCCAGAATCTAATTTTACTGCAGTGAAAGGGTAGTTTTAATCCACAATAAAGTGGTTATTATTGAAGGGTGTTGGATGGAGGAATGACATTCACACTTGCATTTAAAAAAAAAAATCTATCTGGCTGCCATGTGGGGAAAATATTGGAGAGAAGCAAACCTAGAGGCAGGAAGCTCAATGAGGAAGCTACTAAAATATCTGGTTGAGAAAGGAGGGTGACCTGGATGGGGTAGTAGTCATGGGAATGGAGAAATATGGTTGGAATCAAAAGACATAAATGGAATAAAATCCCGAAGGACCTAGAGATTGATTGATTGCTGGGAAAAAGATACGGGAGTAAAGGCTGAAGCCTAGATTTCTGCTATGGGCAAGTAGAAAGATGGCAGTACCACTCATTAAGATAGGGAACAGCAGGTTTGGAGGTGGGAAGATTAATAAATTCCGTTTTAGACTTACTGTGTTTGATATACTTGTGAGACATCAAAGAGGAATTGTCCAACAGGATGTTGGATGCACAAGGCTGAAGCTAAGGAGAGACTAAGTATATACTTGGGAGTCACCATCAGCATATAGTTAGAAATTGAGGCAATAGAAATAGATAAAAGCTTGGCCAGAGAGGATTTAAGAAAACCACAGAGCTAAGTCCAAAATCCTGAAGCATGCCAATATTTCAGAGACTTATAGAAGGAGACTGAAAAGGTGTGTCCAGAGAAATAGGAGGGAAACAGGAAGGGGATGCTATCATGGAATTGGAAGGAGTGTTTCCAGGGAACAATTGGTCAGCAGTGTCCATTGTTCTGAAAGGGCCAAAAATGCTAAAAATTGCACGTTAGATTTTGCAAAGTAAGGTCATAAATGACTTTGGTAAGGTCAAAGGCAGGGTTAGGGGCAGAAAATTGAAGAGTGAGGAGGAGGTAAGAAATGAAACTGAAGTACCCTTTGCAACAATATGGATGGAACTAGAGAACATTATGCTAAGTGAAATAAGTCAGTCAGAGAAAGACAAATATCATATGATCTCACTTATACGTGGATTCTAAGGAACGGAATGGATGGGAGAAGTGGATGGAGACAGTCTCAGAGACACAGAGGAAGAACCAAGGGTTGTTAGTTGGGAGGGGGTGGGGATGAAGGAGAAGGGGAAAGGATGAGACAATACAAATTAGTAATTGTAATATGGCCTCAGGAATAGAAAAAGACAGTCTGAGGAATATAATCTATAATGTTGTAAGTATTTCTTAGGGGGCCAGATGGACCCATGTCCTTTTGGGGAGTCCACTTCATAGTCAATGTAAAGGCCTGACCACCGCATTGTATTTCTGAAACTGATGTTGAATAATACTGTATGTCAACTATAATTATATATATACATATAGTCTCGGGAGATGGAGTAGAGAGCGGGAAC